CCATTACCTTGTTCCTCTCTTTAAGCACAGGCTTTGGCTTGGGGGTCTTCATTAAATTTATGGAAACACCAATTGTCAAAGCTAATAACCGAGACCTCTCCTACATTCTCTTGGTCTCCCTCCTGCTTTCCATCTTGACCTCCTTCCTGTTCATTGGCCGACCAAGGAGAGTGACCTGCCTCCTCCGACAAACAGCCTTCAGCATTGTCTTCTCCATTGCCATTTCTTCAATCTTGGCCAAAACAATCACAGTGGTGTTAGCCTTCTTGGCCACAAAACCAGGAAATAAAGTACAGAGATGGTTGGGGAAGAGCTTGGCCAATTCAATTGTCCTTTCTTGTTCTGGCTTCCAAGTTATCATGTGCAGCATATGGATGGGCACTTTCCCCCCATTCCCTGACTCTGACATGCACTCCCAACCTAGAGAGATCATCCTACAATGCAATGAAGGCTCTGTCACCATGTTTTATGTTGCCCTCGGGTACATGGGCTTCCTGTCTGCTATCTGCTTCATGATGGCTTTTCTGGCCAGGAATCTCCCTGGGACCTTCAACGAAGCCAAGCTGATCTCCTTCAGCATGCTGGTCTTCTGCAGTGTCTGGGTATCCTTTGTTCCTGCCTACCTGAGCACCAAGGGGAAGTACACAGTGGCTGTTCAGGTCTTCTCCATCTTGACTTCCAGTGCTGGATTGCTGGGCTGTATCTTCATCCCCAAGTGTTACATTATTATTTTTAGGCCAGATCTGAATACCAAAGAACATTTGATGTCAAAATAAATTTGGGGAAAAAAGACTTTTACAAATCTATTATTTTTCAAAAATGTCATTTAGTAGACTTGATTAACAGGTTGTGATCAATTAATTATTTGTTTGTTTATTGATTTATTAAATCTAAATGCTGCCCATCTTGGCTAGAGATAGAGATGACTCTACACAACTTACAATCAAGACAAAAGAAAACAAGAGATTAAAAAATAGTAGCACTAACATTAGTTTAAAATTAACAAATATTGAAAGGAAGGGAGCAAGATGCTCATAGGGAGAAGGTATTCCTCTTATTTCTAGAGCTATCCATATTTATTTTCCTCCATTTTCCTAAATAAACCAATAGCAATACTCCAAGTCTCATTTTTAGTCACAATACTGTGTGGCAAAATCAGTTTCCAGATGAATTGGACTGTTTGATAGGCAAATGAAGACATAAAGAATGTAGCTTTGCAACTCACAGTGACCCGTGGTAAGGTTCATCACATCCCCATAGCAACCTCTGAATCTGAGGATGCAAATATTTCTGATATCTTTCTTTACAGATAACAGAAGGACAAGAAGTAACCTGAGATTTATTATGCTATTGTTGTCCCAAAAATGGTTCAGCCTGGTGCAGAAGCCAATCAGAGCTAGACACCAGTGATGGACTTTCACAAAACTTTTATTGAAGCACTTCAGCAAAAGGATCCCAGCCACTAAAGGAGCTGAGACCCTGAACAACATCATATCACAATCATTTTTATACAGTTAATTTCCAGAAATAGGGAAGTAACATTTCAGAAAGCTATTACCTTTTTTGCAGTTCTACCTTTTTTTAGTCTATTTGTTTATCTATGGAGTTGTGCCTTGTTTGAGTAAACATGTCCTTTTGTCCTTACTTGTGGTTTCTGATGCTTATGTTCTTGTTGTCAGACTTTGTAACTTCCTGTATAGTAGGTGTTGTTACATTTCCTTTATTTCAAACTGACACGTTTATGCAATTACATTCCTCTCAGTTATCCCTCCCTCCCAAAATGGGGACATATTATTTCTTAGTGGGTGATCCATCACTATTATTTATAAATATGGACAAATGGATCATTTCCCCATTGTTGCATGATTTCCCCTCCTTTCTGAAATATATAACAACACTAAAATAAAAAATATATTAATAATAAAATTGACATTTATACTTCAATCACTTGCTTTCTGATGTATTACATACAACAAATATATTGTATGTATGAGGGCCATTCAGAAATAAACTTCCATTTGGTTATCAATGACAGACACTCACAGATACAGAACTTTTATTATACACATTAGAAAACTACAACATTACATTACTTTTTGACATAATCACCATTCAAAGTGAGGCACTTGTTATAATGTCTTGCAAGTTTTGAAATTCCTTAGTAGTAGTCACTCAAAGTCTGGGCTGTGGGGGGTGGTGGTGATCAAAAACATCCCAATGGAACTGCTTCAAAAGTTCTTGGGTGCGTCTAATGGTGTGCGGATGAGCATTATCATGAACAAACACCACACTGGAAGTCAGCATGCCACAACACTTTTATGGATGGATTGTCTGTGTTTTCGTAACATTTCACAGTAGGCTTCTGAATTGATGGTTGAACCACGCTCCATAAACTTCACTAGCAGTACTCCATTGATATCTTCACGTTTGACAGGGTTTTCTATAGCACCACTTCCAGTGTGGTGTTGGTTCATAATGGTCCCCTACACACCATCAGATGCACCCAAGAACTTTTGAAGCAGTTCCATTGGGATGTTTTTGATCACCACCACCACCCCATAGCCCAGATTTTGAGTGACTATTGCTAATGAATTTCAAACCTTGTAAGATGTTATGACAAGTGCCTCAATTTGAATGGTGATTATGTCAAAAAGTAATGTAATGTTGTAGTTTTCCAATATGTATAATAAAAGTTCTGTATCTATGAATATCTGTCATTGATATCTAGACGGAGGTTTATTTCTGAACTACCCTTGTATCATTTGTTTCTCTACCCTATAAATAGACTTGAACTCACCTGAATACACCTGCAAGTTTCAAGTAAGGTGCAAACCCTGCTGGGAAATAGTAATGTAAGTCATCAATTTGTCACATCGGGAATATTGCCTAGAATTAAAGTTTCCCATTGTTGAAATCTCACATGTCTATTATTTGATTGCTTGCTTTCTGATGCTTCACATATTACAAATGTATTATTTGTTTCTATATCATTTAAATAGATTAAACCTCTCCTTAATGTTTTTTGTTTGTTTGTTTGTTTTTGTTTTTCCTGAATTACCTGGTGAATTTTCTGATTGGCAAAGAAGCCACTTAGCAAAAGTAAGAGTATCTCTTCAAGGATCAATTTCTAATCAGCTTATTATTAGACTGTCAGAACCCAAATGAAATAAGTGGGGAAAATATGTTATCAGAATGCATGGTTACCTAATATCATGTCAGTTGCTCTATTGTATATTAGAATCTGGGTAAACACCTGAACATCAATCATGCAAGAGCTAGAAAGACTCTGTGAAAGAAACCCTCTGCAACTGTGACATCCAGCCAAAATGACACCCACAACAAATATAACAATAGTTTTCCAGTGCCCTCCTTTTGTAGATTCTGAATCTCCAGCAGGGCCTCCAGAACCAATCTAGATGACGTGCACAACAGTTCTTCAAATTCAGAGTACAGAGTAAAAGTACTATCTGAAATGAAATGTATTATATGGACTAAATCAAGGATAAAAACATGATGCTCTTGTATTTCCAGAAGAGGATCCACCTGCTACTGGAAAGTCCTCTAATTTCTTTAGGCCATCTGAAATCAACCAGGATCTCCCACTTTTCCCAACATCCACCTGGTTTTTAATCTCAAGGACAATTATTTGAACTTCAGAATGACTTGGAATGCTGTGCTGGACCTGTTGTCAGCTGGGGAGGTGAATGTTCCTAAATACGGTTGTGGAAGACAGAGGACCTTTCCACTATCCTTGAAGGGACTGAGACTGAAATCTCCTCTCAGAATGCCACCATGTTGGCCACCCACAAAATCCCACAGGCAGTGCTTTAAAAAAAAAAGGTGCCAGAACTCACACACAACATCATACAACCTGCCTTGCCTACCCTACAAGGTTCCATCCAAAAAAGGTGCAGAAACTCCGTTCTGGGTGTTCTGTGAGAAAAAAAAACCTGCCCACAGGTATGTCCATAACATTCTACAGCACACTTCCCATGTTGTAGTTGTCAGTAGGTAGAGGTGAAATGAAAGTTGTCATACATCCCATTTGTTTAATTAGCAAAGAAAGACTCCTGCTTCATTTCTTTTTTCAAGAATATACTTTATCAAGAACAAAGCAGTTACAGATCAGAGCATGCAGAATCTGTTGACTTGGCATGAAAATGATGTAATTAATCTTTCCTTTTCCCCTGTCCATTCCCGTTATCAGTCAATGTCCAATTAAAAGTTCTCAGGTTTGTGTTTGTGCCTTTCCATCTCCACATTCATTCAATGATCTTGTGCTTGATTGGTGGTCCTCATAATCAGGGCTGGCTCTGCTTCAAACCCAACCCCCCAACTCCCCATTCCAATCTCTCCCCCTCCCACCATTGCTGATGTCAACCTGGCAAAAGATGCAATGCGAAGCCAGCAGCAGAATGACAGCTATGAAAAAAAAACTAATGAGAAGATAAGCATTCCCTATGCCCAGGTTTCTATCTTCAAGAGGAGAAATCACTTGCTTCTTCATAGCAACTACTATTTTTACATTAATTTTACTTTTCTTTTTCTGTGAAAAGGGCAGCTCCCATTATTGCATACTGTTAATATCACCTTTTCGTTCTTTTTCAGGTCAACTCTGTTTTGAAAGAACAAACTTCAGTGACATTCAGACCCTTTCTGCTTCTATTATACAATTTGTAGATAAAGCATTTCCTTTAAACCCTCCTCCTGGTATATGAACAAGATTTCCATTATGAAGAGTCATGTTTTAAAAAACTGGACGTGGCATTTCAGGACTCAAGTAGGCTAGGGACAATGGACTTAAGGCATTCTGCCTTAAGGATTAAAAAATGCTCAGTGGACATCTTCAAATTTAACTGTACAAAGTTGGGGATCTTATCTTCCCTTTAATTATTTCAAATAAAATCATCGGCTGTATTTTGTATGGAGAGCAGCTTGGACCATTTTCGAGGTGTGGACTGTTAGAAAATGCTAACTTTTAAAATGTCTCTGTCTCACATTTATTTATTTCTTCTTGTTGTAAGTTGCTCCCTTGTATTCAGGTCTGGCCTCAGAATGATTATGTAACACTTGGGGATGTAGATGCAACCCAGCAGCCCAGCATTGGAGGCCAAGATGGAGAAGACTTGCACAGCCACCATGTATTTTCCTTTGGTGCTCAGATAGGTGGGCACAAAACTCATCCAGACACTGCAGAAGACCAGCATGCTGAAGGTGATCAGTTTGGCTTCATTGAAGGCCCCAGGGAGATTTCTGGCTAGGAAAGCCACCACGAAGCAGATGGCAGCCAGGAAGCCCAGGTAGCTGAGGGTGATGTAGAACATGACAACAGAGCCTTCATTGCATTGCAAATTGATAACTCCAGGCTGGGAATGGAGGTCAGTATCAGGGAATGGGGGAGAAACTCCAAGCCAGATGGAACAGATGATAACTTGTACAGCAGAACAAGAAAGGATGATGGAGTTGGCCAAACTCTTCCCCAACCATCTCTTTACCTGTTTTCCTGGTTTTGTGGCCAGGAAAGCCAGCACCACTGTGATGGTTTTGGCCAGGAGGGAAGAAATGGCAACTGAGAAGGTGATGCTGAAAATCATTTGTTGGAGAAGGCAGGTGGCTTTCCTTGGTTGACCAATGAAGAGAAAAGGAGACAAGAAGCAAAGCAGGAGGGAGACCAGGAGGATGTAAGAGAGGTCCTGGTTGTTGGCTTTGACAATGGGAGTTGCTTGGTATTGAAGGAAGATGTTTAACACAAATCCTGTGGTTAGGAACAGCAATAGGGCAAAAAAGACCAGGAGGATGCCCAAATGTTCTTCATAAGACAGGAAGGATATAGCTTTGGGGATACATTGAACTCTGCCCTCATTTGGATATTTGTTATCTGAACATTTGGTGCATTTTTCCGTATCTGAGAAAAAGAAAAAAAGCAACAATTCTTCCATATTCTGTCCTTTTAAATTTCAAAAAATGCATTCTTGGGACAATAATGAGCATTTTCAAAGAAGCATTTTTTAAATTTGAAGCAAAAACAAAATTCTGTATATAATTATCTATCTATCTATCTATCTATCTATCTATCTATCTATCTATCTATCTATCTATCTATCTATCTATCTGTATCTGTATCTGTATTTATATCTATATCTATACCTATCTATATCATCTATATATCTCATTAACTTTCTACCTCTCTATATATCCTGTCAAATGTCCATAACCTCTATGGGAAATTTTAGTCATGAAAATAATCTGGAATAGCTCATGGAACCAATAGTAATATGAATGCATAATAACTGTCCAAGAAGAAGAAGATACAAAGAATTTTGAAGATGAATATTGTAAAGAAAGTACAATTCTTTTTATTGTGACTTATAAGCACTGCACTAGAAAAGACCTGAGCTATTTCACTCCCATGAAAAATTCTATGAATGAATCCATTTCCACAATGTCAAACCTTTTCTTTGGTGTTACCCACCTTCCTGAGTGGAGATGGTCCCTTCCAGACAAGGAACACAGTCATAGCAGCAAACTGACTCTCCTTCTCGCTTCCGCTTGACAAATCCAGGATGACAATTTTCCACACATTTGGACTGAGGCAGAGTCTAAGCACAAAAAAACAGCAATGCCAAAGAAAGTATGTTAGGACTCACCATCCATGGAAAATAAAGTTCAAAATGAACATTAGCAAAAGAGTCTCTGGCCTTCACTTAAATAAGTGTGATCTCTCTAACTAGTTCAAAATAGTTGCTGGAGATACAATTTTTGACAGTTTCTTTATTTACTTCAGCCCTTTTTCTTTTGGATTTCTCATTGCAATAAAGGACCATTGCAAAGCTGCTCCCCTTTGAAAGTAGTCTAAAATAGCCTCCCGCTTAAAATACATAGGAACACCAATATCTCTCCTACCTTGTTGTGCAACTTTAGCCATGACAGAATATCTTTGTTGATAATACATTTCTGCCTTTCAAAGCTCCCCATTTGTTTGGCCATAGGATCCCACCTGGGAAGAAGCACCCAGCTTATGATGTTCAGATCTGCTGCTACATCTCCATTTTGATCCAAATACAATTTCCTATGGGAAATATTGCAAAACTCATTCTTTTCCAGAAATGGATGGAACTAGAATAGAAACATACCGGAATTTTAAAAACAGAATATTTGATTTTTTATCCCTTTTCACATTCAAATCTTTCCTCAACAGATGTCTAACTTGAAAATACTGTGAGTTGGAAGACCAGATATTACCACTATGTTCAAAAGTGAAAAAAATACTCAGATAAATTGGTCAGTCATATATTGAAAAATGTGATCTAACAAAATATAATTGACCAAATTTGTCTATTAAAGGGAACATTTTAGCCATTGTAGCTTACAGAGTAGTGGTGCAGCGGCCCCTCCCCTATGGACATTTGAATCATGAAAGGGTGCAAATGGTACACAACCAAAGTTGTGCAAAGGCTATTCTAGCTACAACTGCCACTTGCTCTTTGAGTAGGAGTTGCGAGATCAGGAGAACTCCAAAGTTGTGGACCAGGTCTCTCAGGGATAGTGCATCCCCATCCAGAACTAATGATGCTAAATTAATGGATCCTAAAGATCCATGCAGCTGAAGCCATTTGGTCTTGCCAGGATTCAGCCAAAGTCTCTTGTCCCTGATTTCTATAACTTTATTCCCTGAGTGGTTAAGTTGGCCTTTTGTAACACAAGGGGATTGAGAAGGTTCCTCTCCCTCTCCCTTGGAGTTTCATGGATTGTAGTAGGGCCTACATACCTGCCATGGCTTCAGACTTTGAGCCTCCAGCTTCTCTTTGCCATTCTTGCTTCTCCTCCTAGATCTGGAAGAATATGCAGCTTTCAAGGCATAGGCCAGAGTCTTAATAACACTGTGCAGATGGAGGTGAAAAGGGATCCATATCTTTCTCCTTTCCTCTCCAGGTTCCAATAGTGCTTTCTGGGTGCATCTTTTCTGGCCTTTGACTGAAAAAATGTGCTTTGAAAAAGAACAATGAAAATACCGATTTTCCAATTTCACAAAGAGTTTGGTTCCAAAAGGATCATCTTCTGGTCTTTTCTTTTCCTGAAAGGCAAAGCTCCAGATGCTATGGACATATTTGTAAAGACTTGCCCGTCCTAATACCAAATACTCAATGCTTTCCACAATCCAGACTTTCCCTTCAATGGGTCCTGGAAGACCTTCAAATATTAACTGGAAAGTATGAATTCTGTCCCAAACGTTAACGTGTTCTATGTAGTTCACAAAGACATTAACTTGTCTCCACTTAGAGATGTCATCCCTGAGGAGTGTTGTATGTCCAGTTGCTGTGAATCGTTGTGATATAACCACACAAATTCCATTCCTGACAAGTATGGGAGTAAAAGTCCTCATGAAATTCTCTCCCTCCTCTGTATCTGAAATAAAAAGACCAATCAAGGTCCATCTGAAATGGAGGAGCAGTTGGACAATTGCTGGATATGTGATCCCTTTTGGGGGGAGGATCCGGTGGAAAAAAGGAAATCCACTTTTATCACTCAGAGTCTCTGAAACAATTGCATCACTGAGCTGAAAAATACAATGAAGAATGCTATGCTATATTTGGGGTGAAATAAAGTCTAAAGTATTAGATTTTAATAAATCCAACTTGCTACTCATGAATATCTTAGAATGGTATATTATTAATTACTCATTAAACCATATTAAGATACAGGATATGAAGCACAGAACAACTGACAAGAATGTACATAAAACATAAAATAAAAAAATAAATGAAAAAGAATAAATATAAAGAATGTAAATAATATTTCTGTATCACCTTAGTGGTAAAAGGCAACCAGGCTGCCAAAGAACCATCAAAGCTGACACTAACCAAGGCATAGAACAACTCAAAGAAGCAGTGAAAGAACTGAAAGAATCGGTTTATGCTTTGCGCAGGACCTTCAGATTCTGCATGACTTTACTGCAACCACTTTCTCTCAGTAAAAGTTGTTTTGATTCAAATCAATAGATTCAAGATTCTTATTTTCCTGAGAGCCTGGCTGGCCAGGTCTGACACAGCCACAATGTAGGACAAACTGGCAGAAGATTAGCAGAATGGAGGTAGGGAGTAAAGAGAAAGAAGGAAAAAAAGGAAAGACACAGTGAAGTAGAGAGTGATGGAAAGGCTGGAAAATCAAGATATAAACGAGGAGATATAAGAAACATACCCAAGATCCATAAAGGACTCAAATGCCTATAAACAAATGCAAACTTGAAGTATTAGTACAAGAAGGCAGATATGATATATTTGCCATTACTGAAACCCAGTGGGATGAAACTCATGACTGTAATATGCTGATGGAAGGATACAAACTATTCAAAAACACAGACCTAATAAAAGAGGAGGTAGAGTTGCATTATATATAAAAGATCACTACACCTCTATAAAAATACACAAAAGCAAGGATAAAAACCTCCTAGAATCCATATGGGTTGATATAGAAATTAAAAAAGAATGACATTGCTACAAGTGTATATTCCAGGCCACCCAACCAAGCAGAAGAAATTGATGGTTTTTTTTTTTTTGCTAAACAATTAACATATATTTGTAGGAAATATACCACAGTGGTAATGGGAAACTTTAACTACCCTGATATTAACTAGGAGACAAACTCTGTAGCAAATGGGAGATCAAATAGATTCCTAACCAACCTAGCTAACAACCTTGTCAACCAAAACATAGAGGAGGAAACTAGAGGAAAAGATATGCTAGACCTAATTTTTACTAATGGAGAAGAAGTGATAGAGGGAGTTGAAGTTACTGGAACTTTGGGCAAGAGTGACCATGGCATATATTGGAATTCAATATCATGCAAGCACAAGCAACAGAACATAATACAGCCAATGTCTTAAACTTTAAAAGAGTTGATTTTAACAAACTCAGAGAGAGCCTAAAAAAATTCCATGGATGAAAATCCTAAAGGGGAAAACAATTCAAGAAGCATGGAAATGCTGAAAAATATGATCACAAAAGCCCAGTTCAGAACAATACCACTGAAAGAGAAAAACAAGAACTCCAAGAAGAAACTCACAAGGTTGCATTCTGATAAGCTGAAAGCCAAAAAGGACAAGTATAAAAAATGGAAAGAGGGACACATGACTAAGGCAGAGTATCAGCAGATAGCCAAAACTGCAAAGACATAGTCAGGAAAACAAAGGCTCAGAATGAACAAAGACTTACTACTACTACTACTACTACTACTACTACTACTTTCTTTCAATGTATAAATAACAAGAACAAAGTCAAGGAAACAGTCGGTCCAGTAAATAGAGAAAATGGCAAGGAAGAAACAAGCAGTAGAGAGAAAGCAGAGCTGCTTAACTCATTCTTTGCATCAGTCTTCACACAAAAACTATATCCCAACTATATCCCAACTTAGGCAATCTATAGATAAAAATTAAAATAAACAAGAAAATGGTTAAAGAACACCTATCTGATCTTGATGAATATCAATCACTGGGACCTGATAGATTACATCCTAGAGTTCTGAAGGACCTGGCAGTTGTTATCTCAGAATCATTGTACCATATCTTCAAAAAAGGGAAAACAAAAACAAACAAACAAAAAACCCAGACACAATCAGCCTAACATCAATACCTGGGAAGATACTGGAAAACATAAAAAAAAAAACAGATCTACAAACATTTAGAAATAAATAAAGTTATAACTAAAAACCAGCATGGGTTTGTTAAAAACAGATCATGCCAAATCAATCTTATTTCATTATCTGACAGAATGACTAATTAGTATATTGGCGAAATGCTGTGGACACAGTATACTTAGACTTCAGTAAGGCATTTGACAAAGTAGAGCACAACCTACTTCTTGATAAGCTAGAAAATGTGGGCTAGACAATATCACCACCAGATGGATTTGTAACTGGCTGACAAACCATACTCAATGAGTGGTCCTTAATGGCACTATATCTCCATATACATAAATTAGCACTGGGGTACCACAAGGCTCTGTCTTAGGCCAGTACTCTTCAATATCTTCATAAATGACTTGGATGAGGGAATAGAAGGGGAGCTCATCAAATTTGCAGATGACACTAAGGTGGCAGGAATAGCCAACACCCCAGAAGACAAGCTCAAGATCCAAAAAGAACTTGACAGACTTGAACAACGGTCTCTATCCAACAAAATGAAATTTAATGTGGATAAAAGCAAGGTTTTACATGTAGGCAGGAAAATCTGTGTGTGGCAGCAGCCACAAAAGCCAGTTTATACAAAGTTGTATAAACAGAGGAATAGAATCAAAATGATATGAAGTATTAGTATCGCTTTATAAAGCCTTAAAAAGGCCACACCTGTGATATTGCATAGAGTTTTGGTCACCCCATTACAAAAAAAGACGTTGAGACTTTGGAAAAAGTGCAAAGAATAGCAACTAAGATGATTAAAGGCCTGAAAACTAAAACATATAAAGAATGGTTGCAGGATTTGGATTTGCTAGAAGAAGAATTAGTGGGAACATGGTAGCAGTATTCCAGTATTTGAGAGATTGCCACAAAGAGGAGGGGGTCAACTTATTTTCCCAAGCACCAGAGGGAAGGACAACAAACAATGAATATAAACTAATCAAGAAGAAGCAACCTGGAATTAAGGAGAAACTTCTTAACAGTGATGACAAATAACCAGTGGAAGAGCTTGCCTTCAGAAGTTGTGGGTGCTTCATCACTAGAGGTTTTTAAGAAGAGATTGGACAGTCATTTGTCTAAATGGTATAGGGGCTCCTGCTTGAGTAGGGGGGTGGACTAGAAGACCTTCAAAGTCCCTTTCTGCTCTATTCTGGTTGATTGATTGATCCATGAATGCCAACTAACAGTCAGAAGATCCTCTGATTGGATACAGAGCCTCTCCTTATCTTCACAAGTCTGCAGAAGAAGCCCGCAATGCAACGGGGATGATGTCATTAGAGGACATGTCTGCTTTTTGCCTCCTCCCCACAATGTGTCCCAATCCATAGCCTGACACCCATAAAGGCCAGGGTGAAAATCAGACAAAATATGGTTGGATCTATCATTCACCCTCAATCTCCCCACTCACATACCCGTTAGAGAAACACACACACAAACCTGTGGGACTTTGTAGATGCCTACTAATCTTGACATCTGAATGGAGGTTTCCCTCTTAGCTGCATCAAGAAGAGCCAAAAGGTTTTCTTTCCTTCCACAGCTGTAGTTGGGAACATTGGCTTCTCCACTAGAGAGGATGTCCAGCACGGCTTCTGAAGTAGCAAGAGTGCTGACATAGTTGTCATGCATGTTGTAGCCAAGTGTGAGATTAGGCAGGAGCTGGGGATTCTCATTGACCACTTGAATGGCGAAAACCATGATTAGCAGTTTAAAATAATGTCCCGTACTATTTAAAAAAAATCATGTTACCATCATCATCAATAGAAATAAGAATGTTATTTTTCAGTTTAATCATCTTTGCCTCCACAAGTATATTGTGTCTTAAGCCAATATAGATCCAAACTCCAAGGCAAATGATAGCTCCCTATCAGCACATAATTTTTATGATCTTTGAGAAGATGGGATGGAGATAGTCTTCTACCAAGGTTAAGAATCACAGTTATTTTTACCAGATCTAATTTTCATTTGCCCAGTAACCTGTATTCAAATCATTCAATCACTGAAGTAGAACCACCACAAAATGAAGAGGATGTTTCCTAAGTGTCCCATAAAGTCATCCTCTATTCCTGTAAGGATCAGGTATTGAATACTTTACAATGACAGGTTATATAAATATGGAAGTGAGGTGGGCAGAGGACTCTACAACCCTCTCAATCACTACTTTAAACCAAGCTCTGTATTCAAGTGATGAGGTCAATATTGAATGAGAATGGATAAAAAATACCTTGACTTATTTCAGGTTTTATTTGCCTCATGTTTGGATCTGAGTCTCTTCCACAAAAAGAAGACAAAAGTGGGTAGCCATGAAAATGAGAATGATTCAAGAAATTAGATGGGTCCTGCTATATAGGAATAAGACAGGCTTAGGATACAGGAGGATCTGGACAGACTTGAACACTGGGCGCTATCTAACAAAGTGAAATTCAATGGTGAAAAAAGTAAGGTTCTACATTTAGGCAAGAAAAAAACAAATGTACAGGTATAGTATAGGGGGTACCTTGCTCAATAGTAGTAACTGTGAGAGGGATCTCAGAGTCCTAGTGGACAATCATTTAAATATGAGCCAGCAGTGTGCTGCAGCTGTCAAAAAAGCCCACACAGTGCTAGGCTGCATTAACAGAGGGATAGAACCAAGATGAGGTGAAGTATTAATACCACTCTGCAATGCCTTGGTAAGGCCACACTTGGAATACTTCATCCAGTTTTGGTCACCGTGCTGTAAAAAAGATGTTGAGACTCTAGAAAGAGTACAGAGAAGAGCAACAAAGATGATTAGGGGACTGGAGGTTAAAACATATAAGGAACAGTTGATGGAATTGGGTATGTCTAGTTTAATGAAGAGAAGGATGAGGGGGGGGGCATGATAGCAGTGTTCCAATATCTCAGGGGTTGCCACAAAGAAGAGGGAGTCAAGCTATTTTCCAAAGTGCCTGAAGGCAGGACAAAAAGCAACAGATGGAAACTGATCGAGGAGAGAAGCAACCTAGAACTAAGGAGAAACTTCCTGACAGTTAGAACAATTAATCAGTGGAACAACCTGCCTCCAGAAGTGGTGAATGCTCCAACACTGGAAGTTTTTAAGAAGAAACTGGACAGCCATTTGTCCAAAATGGTATAGGGTTACCTGCCTGAGCAGATGGTTGGACTTGATGACCTCCAAGACCCCTTCCAACTTTATTATTATTATTATTATTATTATTATTATTATTATTATTATTATTATTATTATTATTATTATTATTATTATTATTATTGAGTATTAGGACCTCAAATGAAGCGAATGCAACTCCATCATATTGAGTAACTTACGAGCGAGACTGACTAGAAGGAACCATGTTGAAAGGCAATGTTCTAGGTGATGATGTTGTTTCAGTGGTGACTATACCAATGAAATGGTCTCCTGGCCTGTAAAAGTTCCATGGTTTTTTCCCATCCCAGATCTCAAAATTCAATGGACACTTCATGCTAAGCTTCTCAGAGATTGCCTGAGACACCAGCAGCATCAGAAGAAGAAGATCCATAACTCATAGGGCTGAATCAATTCCTTTCTTGTTTCTAAACATGAACAAGAAGAAGAGTTAGAAGAATTCAAAGCACCCTCAATTTCCTGATTCCAACGGAGACAAATCAATGTTTACTGGAAAGGAGAGAAAGTTACAGTCAAGAGCACAATCCCTGCCTGTCCCAAAACTTGAGCCATATAGAGTGTGATCTGTGGCATTTATCCTTTTCTGATGCAAGATCCATTTCATGTTGTTTCAGTCAGATGTTAACATCAAAGGCAGTCACTTTAGCAGAATAGGTCTCAAAGACTGGAAGAGTGATAATTGCGGTGAGAAACAACTTCTCCTCTGGGGATCGTAAAGTTCATGTAAGTGAAAACTCATAAATACATCCCTGGGAGTGTTGTCGTTCTTTGTCAGAACATGTCCAGAAAGTGATGCTCAAGAAAAACAGTTCAACATTTAGGTAATTGACATTTGCTGTCCTTCATTGTTGTGCCTTGTCTCCAGAGGCTGATGAGGAAGGTCACCAAGAGCTATGGAGTTTGGTTAAACTCCATGTTGATGTCACAACTCTATTCCTGCTTGTTTTCTAATACAAAGAAGGCAGTAATATTCTAGAACCCACCCTAATGTTAAGAGTACGGTCTTTCTGTGATTTTCTATTCTATTCGATCATCACTTTTCAATCCTCAGTTGGAGCTGATTTTAAAATTCCTTGTGCCTGAAAGTGAAATTTCATTTTTCATCAGTTCTGGAAATGTCAATTGTTCAATAAGAGCCAACTAAGAGGCAGGAAAAATTGACAGCCTGTGAACTGTTTCATTGGGTATATAGGGGCATAGAAGGTTTTTTCCCCCCTTAATATTCTCTGTGCTGTCTTTTCCTATTTGTAAAAGACACTGAAATCCTCTATATTTTGAGGTTTCTTGGTTTTCTAAATGAAGAGTGGGCTGTGGTGGCGGTACCCACAGTGTAGTGGATGGAGCGACCAGATTATGTGCCACATCCACCAAGAAACTAATTAATGAAGAGAAGGATGAGGGGGGACATGATAGCAGTGTTCCAATATCTCAGGGATTGCCACAAAGAAGAGGGAGTCAAGCTATTCTCCAAAGCACCTGAAGGCAAGACAAGAAACAATGGATGGAAACTGACCAAAGAGAGAAGCAACACCACACTGGAAGTCAGCATGCCACAACACTTTTATGGATGGATTGTCTGTGTTTTCGTAACATTTCACAGTAGGCTTCTGAATTGATGGTTGAACCACGCTCCATAAACTTCACTAGCAGTACTCCATTGATATCTTCACGTTTGACAGGGTTTTCTATAGCACCACTTCCAGTGTGGTGTTGGTTCATAATGGTCCCCTACACACCATCAGATGCACCCAAGAACTTTTGAAGCAGTTCCATTGGGATGTTTTTGATCACCACCACCACCCCATAGCCCAGATTTTGAGTGACTATTGCTAATGAATTTCAAACCTTGTAAGATGTTATGACAAGTGCCTCAATTTGAATGGTGATTATGTCAAAAAGTAATGTAATGTTGTAGTTTTCCAATATGTATAATAAAAGTTCTGTATCTATGAATATCTGTCATTGATATCTAGACGGAGGTTTATTTCTGAACTACCCTTGTATCATTTGTTTCTCTACCCTATAAATAGACTTGGACTCACCTGAATACACCTGCAAGTTTCAAGTAAGGTGCAAACCCTGCTGGGAAATAGTAATGTAAGTCATCAATTTGTCACATCGGGAATATTGCCTCGAATTAAAGTTTCCCATTGTTGAAATCTCACATGTCTATTATTTGATTGCTTGCTTTCTGATGCTTCACATATTACAAATGTATTATTTGTTTCTATATCATTTAAATAGATTAAACCTCTCCTTAATGTTTTTGTTTGTTTGTTTGTTTTTGTTTTTCCTGAATTACCTGGTGAATTTTCTGATTGGCAAAGAAGCCACTTAGCAAAAGTAAGAGTATCTCTTCAAGGATCAATTTCTAATCAGCTTATTATTAGACTGTCAGAACCCAAATGAAATAAGTGGGGGAAATATGTTATCAGAATGCATGGTTACCTAATATCATGTCAGTTGCTCTATTGTATATTAGAATCTGGGTAAACACCTGAACATCAATCATGCAAGAGCTAGAAAGACTCTGTGAAAGAAACCCTCTGCAACTGTGACATCCAGCCAAAATGACACCCACAACAAATATAACAATAGTTTTCCAGTGCCCTCCTTTTGTAGATTCTGAATCTCCAGCGGGGCCTCCAGAACCAATCTAGATGAAGTGCACAACAGTTCTTCAAATTCAGAGTACAGAGTAAAAGTACTATCTGAAATGAAATGTATTATATGGACTAAATCAAGGATAAAAACATGATGCTCTTGTATTTCCAGAAGAGGATCCACCTGCTACTGGAAAGTCCTCTAATTTCTTTAGGCCATCTGAAATCAACCAGGATCTCCCACTTTTCCCAACATCCACCTGGTTTTTAATCTCAAGGACAATTATTTGAACTTCAGAATGACTTGGAATGCTGTGCTGGACCTGTTGTCAGCTGGGGAGGTGAATGTTCCTAAATACGGTTGTGGAAGACAGAGGACCTTTCCACTATCCTTGAAGGGACTGAGACTGAAATCTCCTCTCAGAATGCCACCATGTTGGCCACCCACAAAATCCCACAGGCAGTGCTTTAAAAAAAAAAGGTGCCAGAACTCACACACAACATCATACAACCTGCCTTGCCTACCCTACAAGGTTCCATCCAAAAAAGGTGCAGAAACTCCGTTCTGGGTGTTCTGTGAGAAAAAAAAACCTGCCCACAGGTATGTCCATAACATTCTACAGCACACTTCCCATGTTGTAGTTGTCAGTAGGTAGAGGTGAAATGAAAGTTGTCATACATCCCATTTGTTTAATTAGCAAAGAAAGACTCCTGCTTCATTTCTTTTTTCAAGAATATACTTTATCAAGAACAAAGCAGTTACAGATCAGAGCATGCAGAATCTGTTGACTTGGCATGAAAATGATGTAATTAATCTTTCCTTTTCCCCTGTCCATTCCCGTTATCAGTCAATGTCCAATTAAAAGTTCTCAGGTTTGTGTTTGTGCCTTTCCACATTCATTCAATGATCTTGTGCTTGATTGGTGGTCCTCATAATCAGGGCTGGC